GGTGAAAAGATTGGATATACTGGGATTAGAGCAGCAAGAGACTTAATACAATTAGGCTAATTATGAAGAATGTTGATGGCGTAAATGGGGAGAAACTAATTCTTGTGGCAGAGAAGTCGATACCCTGAAAATGCATGACAAATGTCTGAGGGGAGATGGAGAGAAACCTTAACACAGAGAGGTCTATTATGATCTGGAATGCACTAAAAGAATGGTGGAAACAAATTCTACAGGAAATTTCAAAGAGCAATTGGTCATGTTAGGAACAAGGCGGTTATGATGGAGTTGTATATATCCACTTGTTAGGTCACAGCTCGTGTACCACATGCAGTTTTGGTCACTACACTCTTTGGGAAGGGTGTGATTTCACCAGAGAAGGTGCAGAACTGATTTATTAGGATACTGCCTGGGCTGAATGATTCAGCTATGAAGAGAGACTGCATAGCTGCAGCTGTTTTCTCTAAACAGAGAAGGCTGAAAGGTGGAGTGGGGGGTGTGGGAGGAAACGGCAATCTCATTGAAGCATTCAAAGTTCTGTTGGACATGGATAGATAAGAAGAAGTTCTTCTCCATAGTAAATTACTCAATAATCATGGTATACAGCTTTAAAGGGAAGGTAGAGGAGACTTGGGGAAAACCAAGTTTTACCCAGAGGGTTGTGGGTACCTGAACCTCACAGGCAGCAGAAGCAAGAATTCACAAATCAGTTAACAATTATCTAGAACATTTAAAATATCACTTACAAGGCTATGGGCCAAGTGTTAGAAAGTGGAATTAGAATAGATGGATGTTTGATGAGGACATGTTGGGCCAGAGGAACCTTTTTCCGTGCTTTAGAAACTCTGTGACTATCTTGATGACTCTATGTCCTTTTGACTGAAAAGAGAGGTATGTGGCTAATTAGATAGGTCTTTCAAAAGAGGTGACTATAGCGCAGTGGACCAGATGGTATCCTACGCTGCATGATTCTAATGTCAAACCTCCATGATGGCAGCTAAATTCATATCCTCTAGAATTCTTCTCCAAACGACTGGAATACAAGCTCAATAACATAACCATTACAGTCAACCTCAAACCTATAAACTTCTTCTCACTGGCCACATTTACTGATGTCAATCAACTTGCTTTAATAAAACCGTAAGAATTGGTGCATCATGGAATCTTGTATCATCACAGACATAGTCGTCAATACTCCACTGTATTTTATTATGACATTATTTAAAGATTTTTGCAATTGATTGACGTGTTAAGTTATTGATGACTGCTGCAGATATGATTAATTCTCTGTGCCTAATACATCAGATTGTGTAAATCAAAATCAGCTCTCAGGGTCACAGCTTTGGCAAAACATCAAGTCTAAGCTTTTATGCTTCTTAGTCTTCAACTAAAAATTTTTAATTCAAAGACATAGAAGAAAATTCAACCCGTACCAAAGATTATTGAAAAATAAGGAATGTTTTGAATGTTATTTTGTTAGATCCATAAATTGTTGAAATATTAATGAAGCCATTTGAAGAAAAAGCACAAGTAGAATCATGGGGGCCCAGTGACCAGATTTCCAAAATCACAGGGCACTCTCCTGTCACTATTAAACACCAGCTACTGTAGGTTACATTTACCATTTAAAATACCCTTTACTATGCAAAGGGGAAAAAGGTTTTATTAAAATAAACTTGTACAAATGCCCCCCATACACTGAATTTTACGTACCAAACACCATTAATATCTAGTACACTTAAAAATGAAATCTGATCGTCTATATACCATACAGAATAATAGATCCAAGAAATGGGCTATAGTGTTAGAATCTAATTTGAGTTCCGATGGTTTGTCATCTAGAATCTAGAATAAGACAAATTAAAATAAACAAACAGTTGAATTTTGAAAGTCTAATATGTATACTATATCCTCTCCAGCAATGAGATTAAACTGTCGGCTATAGGTTTTAAATAAAATTTAGTCACTGAGAAAAGCAGGATAGAAATGAGACTCCATCTTTACCTACATTGCAGCAGTGCCTACACTTTAATAGTGCTTCATTGGCTATAAAACACTTGGGATGTCCTGAAGGTGCTAGCTATCTCAATGTTCTTTCTTTACAGTTAACAATACAAAGTGAAGTCTAATTACCAGAAAACTCTTCAACATTTCAGCACAAGTAGGAATAAAATTGTTTGGGGATCAATATCACCAAATTATAAAACATAACTTGAGCAAAGTTACTGGAGACACATCTACTCTGAAAATAAATTTTAGTGGCCCACTATTACTGCTCCCCCATATTTCAGAATTCAGCTTTGGATGATAACATTTAAATAAAAATATTTTCAAGTACTTTCACAGAAAGATGTATAAATTACCAACGTACAATTCTTCTAGAAAATTCCAAAGTTACCAATACACAACAGAAAGCTGAAGGGGATTGGTGAGCTGACTTGCATGCACAGTGGCCTATTACGTATTTGCTATTCAAACAGTAACAGAGCCACTTAATATTCAGAACACCACGGATGGCACGAACTGTAGTGAATGACGGCTTAAGGAGAAAAACATCTGCTGTCACTAGACTTCACAGAAAAACAAAAAGATAAAATAAACTGGTGATCAAACTCACCAAAAAGGCAGTGGCGTTGGTGAGGCAATTCCACCCATATATATTTTAGGTTTTCACAAAAACATTACTTTTCCACCTGCCTGAGAGCTGAATGTAACACATCAAGTGCCACATCACAATACTTATGTGTTTTACATATTGAAAAGCTTTATGCATTCAATAACTTAATGCCACTACTACTTCTCTTCAAGAAGCTCATGCAGATATTTGAATATTCAACCCTGCAAAAATAAATATTTCAAAGAAATCACCTCTTCGTAGAGTGTGGTAATGTTTGGTCAGACCATAGAGCAAGGGCAATTTTGAACTTAGAAAATTATGTTTTGTAATGGGCTAAGTGGTGCAATTAGACTCAACATTCAAAAGGAAGATTAATACATATTTGAAAAGAAAGAATTTGCAAGGCTATGGAAAAACAGCAGTGGATTAATTAGATGACTCTTTAAAAGAGTTAAGACAGGTACATCCTTCTGTACTAGATGATTCTATAAATGCAAGGGTGATATTTGCAGGGTGGTGCACAAATTTAAACCCACCATTACACATTATTCCATTAAGCCCATTCCTTGCAATTCAAGCCCAGTATTTAAGATAAAGACATTAAAGAGGAACCAAAATAAAAAAATAAAAGGACATATGGTCTTCAGAGTACTCTCTTGCATTGTACATTTTTCATCCTAAACCAAAGCACTATCAAAGGCTTCTAACAGTTAAAGTGAATGTAATCCTTTTAGATCCTATCAAGAATGGTCTCAGTCGTCTTGTAATGATTTCATACTACATGCATAAGAAACACTCAAGACTGAGAAAACACCATTGAGCCCATTCAAGTAATTATGCCAGCAGCTGAGGAACAGTGAAGTACATGATTCTAATCACATCAGGTGTACAGCATTAAAAGAAATAAGAAAGGGCAAATATCCAACATCTCAGAACCATGTGAGATCTGTTACCATTCATGATATGTTAAGAAAAAGTTAATATGAACAATCATTGGGTTCTCAGTTTTGGGCCTGGCAGGTAACCAGAACTCTGAAATAAAAATGAACCTTGCATTATCCAGATACCTTGTCTTAAAGATCAATGAAGCTGCAAACCCAGTTGATTCATTCAAACATACTGCAAACTACAAGATCCCAAAGGAAGTCGCTTTTACAAAGGAATTAACTTTTTACGGACAAATGGCTTTTGAATTGAATCCATTTTATCTAGTCTATGATGAGGTTTTTCCTAATCTTGTTGTATCCCAAAGTTTATTGTAATATTTAAACTGTTACTAAGCCTGTTTTTTAAGTTGCTTTGGCCTGGACTAGCTATTTGGCACTTACTGGAAGTGACAGGTGATTGTAAATACCTTTTTCTCCCCCCACCAGAAATCAACACTAAACCAGGGACAAACATTCCAAGAACCTGCAAATTGCCTTAATTCCTCATGTCTCTTTGAAGAATCAGTGAAAAAATCATTTTAAGACAGTCAGTGAATGAATCAGAGATAACAGGGTGTAGAGCTGGATGAACACAGCAGGCCAAGCAGCATCATAGGAGCAGGAAGGCTGAATCAGGTTACAATTAGGGTGTATTTGTGAATCCAGGGTTGCTAACCTAATCTCGATGCAAACTTTGATTCTTTTTTTGAAGTTTTGCTTATGTAAAATATGTTTCGTGGTGTTCAGCAAACAAGTTTTAGGTGAGAGCACAGTCAGTAACCACATTTCTTGTTTTAATCAACAGTTGGGATTTTCGTACAGTAGAGTAATCTGTGTCAGGTGACATTTCTCCACTATCTGCTAATATTTCATTTAGTTACCTTCATTCACATATCTAAGGTACTACTATTCTAAATCACATTGGTTTGAGAATTCTTGACTCTCCATTAAGGAAAAGCACTCATACTACGGAAGGCAACAAAGATTACATTGTATTCCCAAATACTGGCTTTCTGGATGACTGGAAGACACAATTCTAGCTTTCAATATTAAAGCATATAATATCCAGCTTAGCATGAGCACTTACCTTTTTATTCTTCTTTCTCCTGTGTCCTCTTTTTCTAAATAAAAATGAATTTACCACCACCACCTCAGCAAATGTTTCAAAATCCTTTCGAAACCAACCAACTGCCATGCAGTGAGTTAAAAACATATCCAGAAAACACAAGCTGCTAGTTTCAGCCAAAAGAATCTTGTGGTTAGTAAGCATCAGATTAGTTATAAACTCAACAGAAACGGTGCATGCAAAATGATATGTGCTTTAGTGAGCCAAAGGCAGATGCCATGCCGTGCTAATCCAGTCAGATTGAAATCCTGAGCCAGAATTATGTAAATTGAAGCATTAGGGAAGATAGGTCAGGGGCAGGGAGGATGGCACTCTTATCATTGGCGGAACACACCTTCATTTTGTTGAGGACTCTCATCCAGACATCCTTCCTGATCAGACTGTACATTTATTTCGCCAATCTTCTCTGGCTCAAGTGGTTTAACATCCCTTTGACGCTGATTGGGAGGCTTCATTACCTTTGGTTGCATTGATGTCTTTATAGCCCTGTGCTGTTCAGAAGATACTTTTGCTCCAGTTTCTCTCTGTGAAGCACCTTTGGGGAATCCTCGTTTTTGGGGGGCTTTAGGTCCTGCTTCTTTTTTCACAGCTGCCTTTGAACCTGGTTCTTCATTATCATCCAGCAGTTTGAGTGCTTTGAGTTTCGAATAAGACAAAGAGACTTCATCAGTGCACTTTGGAAAACCCTCCTGACATTCCGCAGGACTCTTCACTATCTCATTTACCTCAGATGCTTGCTGAGCTTCTGGGAGATCAGTTTCTTTGTTTGGACATTCCAGAGGACTTTCCATAACCTCCTTCATCTCAGATGTTTGCTGCATCTCTGGGGAACCAGTTTCCTTATTTGGACATTTTAGAGGACTTTCCATCAGCTCCTTCATCTCAGATGTTTGCTCCAGCTGTGGGGAACTAGTTTCCTTACTTGGACCTTCTGGAGGACTTGCCACTATTTCCTTCACCTCGGATTTTTGCTGTGACTCAGGAGGGGAAATTTCCCTGTTCCAACATTCTAAAGCTTCCTCTGCCATCTCATTTACCTCAGACATTTGCTGCAACTCAGAGGGAGCAGTTTCTCTGTTCCAACACAGCGAACTCTCAACCAATATTTCTACCTCAGACTTCTGTACTTCAACTGGGGCAATTTTGCTACTGCAATTTTCTAGAGAAATATCAACTACCCCTTTCGTTTCAGAAATGTCTAAATCAGGGGGAGCAGTTTCTGTACTCACTTGTGCAAAAGGGGTTTCTGCCAAGTCTTTCACCTCAGGACTTTGTTTTAACCCAAGGGAGCCTGTTTCCCTACTATCATGATTCAGACAGATCTGTGTCATCTCCTTCACTTCAGATATTTTATTCGATTCGGGGGAAGTTGCTTCTTTATTCACGTGGTTGACAGAGCCCTCTGCCATCTCATTCAACCTACACATTTGCCCTGATTGATGGGGTGTAGTCAGTCCAGTCACATGCTCTAACAAAAACTCTATCTGCTTTCCCTCATGCACTTTCAGTGACTCAAGGAGAGAAGCTTCTCTCTCTGCATTTTCTGTAAGGGTCTCTGTCATTTTTTTTACCTCAAACATTTGCTGTAATTCAGGGGAAATGTTTTCGCCACTTTCATTTTTCACCAGGGTCTGTGCCATTTCTTTCGCCTCAAAGGGTGACTGTGACCTAGGGGCAGTAATTTGGCTAGCCTCATGTCCTGTCATTTCATTCACCTCAAACATGTGCTTTGACCCAGGGGAAGTAGATTCTTTACTTATAGGTGCTAGACTAGGCCCTTCCATCTCCTTCATTTCCGGTATTTCCTCGGACTGAGAAGGAGTATATTTTCTGCCCTCTAATTCCAGAGGAGTCTGTGGTGCTACCTTGCTTACTTCAGTCTTTTTCTGAGAGTTGGGTGAAGTGATATTGTCATCCCTAAGTTCTAGAGGGTGTTCCACTTTCTCTTCCATCTTGGATGTCTGGAGGAACCCAGGAGAGGTAACTTCTCTGTGTGTCCATTCGACTTCTGATATTGTCTCCATTTGTGACTGGCTGCCTGCAAGAGCTTCCCCGCTTCTTTGGCTCTCAACAACAGCCCTTACATCGCTCTCTGAAGGTTCTGTGTCGTACAGTGGTGGATGTACTAGTTCACTCTCTGAGCTTACAGAAGCCCAAATATTGCTTTGGCTTTGCACACTATCCACCTGCTGGGCTTTTACTTGTACCCCTGATGCCTCCTTACATGCCCCCTCAGTGTTCAATACGTTTTCCTTATGCCTCTCTGTCCGTCCAGGGAGCCGTTCCAGTCGCTGGTCAGAAACAATTGCTTGAACCTCTTTAGTTTTAGCCTGCATGTCCATTGGAGGAAGTTGGGCTCCCTTTGGATGTGAACGCTTTTTCTTTTTCTTTTTCTTCTCGACAGACACTTTTCCTACTGGAGATTCTACATGCTGTGCAATTTCCTCTGCAAGCTTAACTTTCCCAGGGGTTTGCTCCAGTAATGGAGTTTCTGTAGGTGAGACAGCAAACCCTGTGGCGCTGTTAATAAGATCCATAGCAGCCACCGATGAGTCAAAATTCCCACAGGCTGGCAAAAATGGTTCAGCGGATGGAGGAAGTCTTGCATCACAGCTCAAGTCCTCTTGTTGGGGAATGCTTGGTGAATATTTTGTAGGTGTCTGCAGTAGAGTATCAACTGCAGCAGTGGTCTTCGCTATGTTTGAAACTGGCAAGCAATCATCCATTAAACGAGCATTATTCAGATCTGGGTTACAACGGTCTACAGGGTGCAAAGATGATTCAACTTGATGCAGGCTGATGAATGGCACACCACATTCTTCTATATACAAGGGAAAAATAGTAGCTAAATACAAAGTTATCAATTCTAAAAAGCACTTCAATTTTTGCAACTTCAACATTTCAATTTTGCTCTCCTATCTTATGCATGTTCCCTCCCTTGCGATGAATTTTTTCTGGGGTGAGGGGCAGGAAAATGGGAAACACTGACCATTTTAAAAACAGAATATAATAACAACAACTTAACAGACAAAAGCACTGACTTGCATAATATTGTCACACTGACTAGTAAGGCCCAGGTTCAATACTTGGTATGTAGCTAGTCATCAGATTCAGTTTGAAGGTTACAAATAGTGGTTTCAATACCAGAGCTGAGAGAGTGGTAAATTAAACCCTCCTGCTTTAAGCACTGACACCAGCTGAAGATAAATGGTCCCTTACACTTCAAAGCAACCAATACCCATGGATCTTCGTCTTTAAAATAATATTTTACCCATTCCAGAGGTGAGGAAGAGAAATTCAAATCGTTTTGCATTGGAGAAATACATTAAAAAAAATCCGGCTTCTACTTTATTCAGGAATGAATACACAATTCCCTTTAAACATTTTTGCATGGCTGTGTACATGGAGAAACAAAGGAGCTGCCACAGCTCCCCAGCTAAGAGTGAACATTTCTCCTTGTCCATACAGAATTTGTTTGTACTTAGGGATTTTAAAGCATAAAGTGATAATTCTAAATATAATGGTTGTCTCCTGAGCACCCCCAATGCTGTTTTTGCGTTATTCTTCTTTATTTCTTTCTTTCATGGAATGTGTGCATCTCTGGCTGGGCCAGTATTTATTACCCATCCCTAGTTGCTCCTGAGAAGCAACAGCTGCAGTCCACGTGCTGTAGATAGACCTACAATGCCTTTATGGAGGGAATCCAGAATTTTAGACCCAGCGGTAGTAAAAGAACAGTAATATTCCTAATCAGGACAGTGAGTGGCTTGGAGGAGAACTTGCAGGTGGTGGCGCTCCCATTTGTCTGCTGACCTTGTCCTTCTACGTGGAAGTAGTTGAGAGTGTGCAAGGTACTGCCTAAGGATCATTCTTGAACTTTTGCAGTGCATCTTGTAGATGGTATACACTACTAATGCAGAGAGAGGAGATATGGTGCCAATCAAGCAGGTTGCTTTGTTCTGGATGGAATCGAGTTTCTTGAGTGTTGTTGAAACTGCACTCACCAGGCAAGTGGGGAATATTACATCACACTCCTGACTCGTGCCTTTTAGAAGGCAGGCAGGCAGACTTTTTTTTTTGGGAGTGGGGGGGAGGTGGATATCAGATGGTGAGATACTCACCCGTACGATTTCTGGCCTCTGACCTGCTCTTGTATGGAATGCTGGCATTGCTGACATGGCTGACATTTGTTGCTCATTCTCAGTTGATCTTAAAGTGGTTGTTTCTTTATGCCAATTCATTGGGTAGTTAAGAGTCAACTAAATTGCTGTCTCGAGTCACGTGTAGACCAGACGAGCAAAGGACAGCTAATATCCTTCCTCATGTTAGTGAACCAGATAGGTCTTTACAATAAAATTGTTACATGCTCATCATTAAACTAACTTTTAAACCCAGATTTTAATCCAATTCAGAATTTACCATCTGCTATAGTGGGATTTGAAACCATGTTCCCAAAAACATTAACTTTTTTTTTCTTTATCCATTCATGGGATGAGGGCATCGCTGGCTAGGCAGCATTTATTGCCCATCCTTAACTGCCCAGAGGACAGTTAAGAGGCAACCACGTTGTTGTGGGTCTGGAGTCACATGTAGGCCAGATCAGGTAAGAATGGCAGTTTCCTTCCCTAAAAGACATTAGTGAACCAACAAACAATGAAGAATTCACAATCATTAGACTCTTAATTCCAGATATTTACTGAATTCAAATTCCACCATCTGTCACGGCAGGATTTGAACTCAGGTCCCCAGAACATTATCTAGGTCTCTGGATTAACAGTCCAGTGATAATACTGCTAGGCCATTGCCTCCCCTGTGGCCTCAGATTAATGGTCCAGTGACATCAACAGCCACCTGCAGAAGAGAATTCCAAACCTCTACCACCCTATGTGTGTCTAAGTGCTTCTCTTCTTAACAGTCTGGTCCTAATTTTAAGATTATGGCTCCTTGTTGTAGAATCTCCAACCAGTGGCAATACATTATCTTTATCAAACCTGTCTTTTCTGGTTATCATCTTGAAGACTTCGACCAAAACACCTTTAACCTTCTAAATTCTAGAGAAAACAGGCCTAATCTGTGTAATGTCTCCTCATAACTTAATCCTGAAGTCCTGGTGTCATTCTTGTAAATTTACATTTTATTCCTTCCAAGGCCAATTTACCCTTCCTAAGGTGTGTTGCCCAGATCTGCTCAAAGCACTCCAGGATTTTGATTAGCTGCAGCACAAGTTCTGCATCCTTGCACTCCAGTCCTCTAGGTATAAAGGCCAGCATTCTAGTAGCTTGCTTGCCTATTTTCTGCAGCTATTTGTGGCATTTTAAAGATCTATGCACCTGAACCTCAAGTCTCTTGGGACATCCACTATATTTAACTTCATACCATATAGAAAGTACCCTGAATCTATACTTTTCTAGTCCAAAATTGATAACCTAACATTTCCTTACATTTAAACCCTCCTCCCTCCGGAAAATCCGCCATCTGCAATCCGACACCACTACCAAAGACATTTTTCCCTCCCCACCCTTATCTACTTTCCGGAGGGACCACTCTCTCCGTGACTCCCTTGTCCGCTCCACACTCCCCACCAGCCCCAGCACTTTTCCATGCAACCGCAGGAAGTGCTACACCTGCCCCTACACCTCTCCCCTCACCCCCATCCCAGGCCCCAAGAAGACCTTCCACATCAAACAGATGTTCACCTGCACATCTACTAATGTAGTATACTGTATCCACTGTTCCCGTTGTGGCCTCCTCTACATCCGGGAAACCAAACGGAGGCTTGGGGACCGCTTTTTGGAACCGCTTTTTGGAACACCTACGATCGATTCGCAACAAACAACTGCACTTCCCAGTCGTGAACCATTTCAACTCCCCCCCCAACTCCTTGAATGACATGTCCATCCTGGGCCTCCTGCAGTGCGACAACGATGCCACCCGAAGGTTGCAGGAACAGCACCTCATATTTCGCTTGGGAACCCTGCAGCCCAATGGTATCAATGTGGACTTCACAAGCTTCAAAATCTCCCCTCCCCCGACCGCATCCCAAAACCAGCCCAGCTCGTACCCACCTCCCTAACCTGTCCTCCCACCTATCCACTCCTCCCACCTCAAGCCCCACCCCCATCTCCTACCTACTAGCCTCATCCCGCCTCCTTGCCCTGTCCATCCTCCCTGGACCGACCTATCCCCTCCCTAACTCACCTTTACTGGCTCCATCCCCGCCTCCTTGACCTGTGTCTGTCTCCTTTTCACCTATCTTCTTTCTCCATCTTCTATCCGCCTCTCCCTCTCTCCCTATTTATTTCAGAATCCCCTTCCCCTCCCCCATTTCTGAAGAAGGGTCTAGACCCGAAACGTCAGCTTTCCTGCTCCTCTGATGCTGCTTGGCCTGCTGTGTTCATCCAGCTCTACACCCTGTTATCTCCTTAAATCCATCTACCAGTTTTGCCCATTCACATAGCATAAAATTTCAAAGGGACATTAATAGACTATCATCTGCACTGTTTGCAGTACCATCGAACTTTATATCATCAGCAAGTTTGAATATATTACTTTCTTTACCATTATCCAAATTTTTAATAAATAATATGAATATTTAAGGCCCGAAAACAAATACTGCCAATTTGAGTACCTACTTGGTCAGCCACTCAACCAATTTCCCAACCATGTCAGAAATTTACTCTCAATTCCATGGGCTTTACCTTAGTTAACAGTATCTTCTTGGGACTTGATCAAATGCCTTCTGGAAGTCCATATAAACAACATCCACACCTTTGTTACTGCTTCAAAAAATGTAATAAGATTATGCATGGCCTACCTGTCATGAATCCAAACTGAAAATTTGAGGCCTTCAATTACCCAATCGATAAGTTATGGACTCCAGTAATATCCCTAAACACAGACATTAAGCTTACAGGTCCGTATTCCCTGGCTTTCCTCTTTCACCCTTCTGAAAAAGCATGTCACACGTGCATGTTCCAATCCAGAGGGGCGGCTCCAGAATCTAGGGAACTCAAAGCTTATAGTTAGGGCGCCTACAAAGTTCTACACTACTTCCTTTAACACCCTTGATGGAAATTACTCACCCTTATCAGTCTCACTGAAAACTTACCTCTACACAGCAGCTGATATATAAAAATGAGAAACTGCCTCTCAAGCTGATTCTATCTGCCTTTTCTCTCTGTGGAGCTGCAGCAACAGGTTACAGTTGCAGGCAAGACTGGAAACCTAGCTTCTAGATGGAAAAAGCCATCGCAGCGATTTGCTTTGCAGACTGTGGCAACTACCTCAGGAGTGTCACTGACCAGAAGTTCTGGGCCACATTAATTGTGCCACTGATTCAACTGATATTTTTTGGTCTGGTATGACAGCCATACAAAATAAAATACCTCGAAAGCATTAACATTAATCGTGAAGCTCTTAGGAAAGAGTTTTCTTTGCTAGTATCTGTGCCTTTATTTCTGAATGATTCTGACTGTACAGAATACAGAGGTATTGACCAAGTGAGTTACAAGTTATGGGATACAAACAAAGCAGGCTTATGAGGCCACAGGTAGATCAACCCCAATCTCACTGAATGGCTAAGCAGGTTCAAATTGCCCAAATGGCCTATTCTTGCTAAGTCCTATATTCCTATCACCATCCTTCATGTAGCCCACAACTATACAGAGAGAGAGAATGGAAATATTGTGGTTGGTTCGCTCGCTAAGCTGGTTCATTAGTTTGCAGACTTTTCATGACCCTGCTAGGTAACATCATCAGTGCAGCCTCCGATGAAGCACTGTCATCGTTTCCCGCCTGATATTTAAACTCTGGGGTCCGTTG